ATAAATTTTCATCATATGTTCTCTCTCAGAATCATCCCCACTTTTTCGCTGGAGAAGCACGTTGAAATCATCGCACTACAGACTGACGTAGGGTGTCAGCCAGTCAGCCTCTCATTGGCGTTGGGGTTGTGTTAGGTTCACCGGCAGGGGGCAGGTTCGATCCACTGCGACATCATCACCGGATGCCTCCCAAGTCCTCGTTCCCCCGACCCTGGCCATGCTGTCATATTATTATCTCAGACATCAACATATCGCATCCAACGGAATCCGTATTTCTCGGCAGTCTGACATCACAACCGGCAGCATCTCAGGCCATGGGCTGTTCTGGGCCCTCAGGAACCGTCCCAGATATAGTGGACGTCCGGAAAGGACGTACCGGACAAGCAAACTATCCAGAGTACGAAGAAGCCCAAAGAACGATAAGGACTCGCCAATTCGCCCTGCATTTTCTTGGTGCTCAGCCTAGCTGTGTTCTTGCCAAAGAGAAGCCAGCGGGGGGTTGACAGACTAAAACAGAAACGGGTAATCCGTCCAAGTGGAATACCCAAGCGACAGTGTCGGTGCCATACCACAGCCTTGGTAGGCTTCGCATTGACACCAGATGAAGATGAGGCACTGAGGCACCTGATCGAGTTATCTAGCACTCTCGCATTATCTTTCTTGCTCCCCCTTCGCCAGATCCAGTCGAGAGGCATTATGTGGCTTTATATCTCCTCCACGTCGAGGGGGACATTTTCTCTCCCCATCGTGGCTTCAAGCCATTTCGACAATCGAGGGTGATGAACTCGACTGCTGTTGGTCAGTCCGGCCCTGGCTGTGACTTCCAGCCAATCATATTTGGGAAATGCGCAAAAAATGACATCACAGTGGGTTCGATCCGAAGTTTGGAGAAGACAAACGGCCAATTCGGGAATTTTGGCTCGCCTATGACGTTAGGGGGTCATTGCCAAGTCTCGCTGAAGCTCGGGCCCTCTCGGCTGTAAGTATGAAGAGGGGCCGACTGGCTTTCGCACAGCATATATCTGTTCAGTGTTCACTAATCTTACTATGAAGAGGTGATTGATATGGAAAATAGGGATGGACTGACCGTCAGAGACACTGGCGATCTTGAATAGTATGGTAAAACATGGAGAATGGATCGGCTGAGAGTGAAAGACGGATAGACATTCCCTGCCTACTGTCTCATGCATTCAATGTTATCTAGATACTTGGTGTAGGACATTCATGACTGTTGACCACAGTGTGGACACCCTGATCGGCCTGACTAGCATACTGTTATGTTTCTCAACATCCCCACATCGACCGATCAACTGAGCTGAATACCATCTAAGATATGCATAGGGCTCAGCATAACTACAGATTGATAGAGAACAAATTTATCAAAGGATCTGATCCGAGAAGCAGAAACAGGCATATCACTAACTATTATCATTTCGGCATACAGTCAGCGCTCAAACCTCACCACTTACTACTTTGTTTACATGACATCAGACCGCATGGCTGGAAACCTTGTCAGATGACAAAAGTCAAAAAAATCTTCGTCTGTTCTTAGCGTCAACATGAAAGCATTGTCCTCTGCTCACTGATATCTTTTGGTATGGTACAACAGATGCATATATCTAGGCTGAAACATGAGTCAATACCGATTTGTTACGCCACGCAGAGCTCAGACGGTCACTGTCTTCAACCTCTTAAATTGAATATCAGACATTTTTATTAAGCAATTCATGTCTCTGCCTAACGGTGACCTCGTTATCTGCTGCCATTCTTCAAGGCAATATGGCATTCTTTGCATCATGATAGACCGATGATGTCGAACATCGTCTCCGTATATTGAAGGAATCGCACGTGGAGCACATGAGTTGATTGAGTTCCGTCTTGTTGCATCCGAGGATCGATCTGATCTGACTTATTACATAATCACCAACCATCCTCCCATCAAATCAACAAAAATAACCACCTTCACAAGCTTCGGCGTTGCGTCCACCAGTCCATTGACAAGGTAATTTAGCATAACTTGTGAGTTTTAACGCTGCCTAATATCTGCCCCTTTTTGAAGCTTGCCGGTTTCCCTTCCCCTGCGGCTCAAGCAAACAACACATCTACTGACACGCAAAAAGGGAGTACGCGACAATGTCCCAGTCCACCACAAGAGCCTCATCGGCTCCCCGGGCCTCGGCCTCAGGCCTTACTCGCGTCTATCTCCTCGCCTACAATGCAATCAGCTTCTGTCTCTGGGCCACCTGCGTCATCCGCGGCGCAATGCTAGCCCTCTCGCTCGCGCCCAACGGCCACCTCCCCGCTATCTTCCACCACGTCTACTCCCCGCTGCTCACAACGACCCAGACGCTCGCGGGCCTTGAGATCCTGCACAGTCTGCTGGGCATCGTGCGCGCCCCCGTCATGACAACGGCCATGCAGGTCGCCAGCCGCCTGCTCCTGGTCTGGGGCGTGATGTATCTCTTCCACGACCGCGGGGATGGGCACGGCGGCATCGTAGGCGGAGATTTCCACGAGGCATTGCCGTATGGACCTGGCGCCAAGGTAGGCGATTATGCGTTCCTGGGATGTCTGGGGGCGTGGGGCGTCACCGAGTGTATCCGGTATGGGTTCTTTGCCTTGCAGGTTTGGGGCAGTGGTGTGCCGAGTTGGTGGACTTGGCTGCGGTATTTTCTTCCTTTCTCGTTGTATATACAAATGTATGTGTTTACTGACGATGGCAGGTACAATACCTTCTATGTGCTCTACCCAATTGGTATTAGCAGTGAGTGCATCATGGTTTGGAAGGCTCTGAAGCCCGCTGCAGAATGGAACCCGCTCTACTGGTGGTTCTTGGTGGCGGTGCTTGCCATCTATGTTCCCGGTATGTTGGTTTTTTGGAGAAACCGTGCGAGCAGCCGCTGACTCTCTTCTTCAGGCTCATACATTCTCTATACGCACATGATTGCACAGAGGCGCAAGGTTATGAAGAAGAAGGGAAGAGCCGAGTAAGTGTCAGGCCTTAAGGTTGCTGTAAAATTACCCTGGGGGATACTGGAGCTGTCATGATGTACATCTATGTAATCAATTATGGACAGCCAACGACTTGGCTGTATCCATTTTATCTATAGCTTAGAATTTTCATATTGTCGTAACATGGATCTATAGTTCTTTCATGATATCTCGTACAGCTTTGGCAGCAAATTTCTTGCGCTCACTCTCCGGTAATTCGGAACTCATGTCTGGTCTATTAGCCTTCGAAATTTACTTTCCTGGTGAGAAGACATACCTCTGATAGCTTGCATCCGCATCATCAATGCCTCCAAAGACTCGACCTTGAGTCCATCGTCGATTTCCTCATCCTCATCCTGATGATCCACGTCATCGCCCCCATGCTCAATCGCCATCCGCAAACCCAGCATCTCGCGTTCCAGCTCGTTGACTTCAAGATCGAACCCGTTCTCCCCGCGATCCAATCCAAGAAGATGCTCCTCAAGACCATCGTCGCTAAATCCACCGGGATCCGCATCCTCAGACGGCGCAGCCCAGTCATGCGTCTCGAGGATTTCCCTAATGCGCCGCATACCCTGGTATTCTGCCACAGCAATCAGTCCACACTCCCATCAACAACATCCACAAAGAAAAGAAAGAGAAAGACGAACCCCCGTAGACATTCCGCTGCTCCCCCTCCTCCCCCTTGGGATCCCACTCGAGCACCTCCACCCCCACCATCCCCATCTCAAACAGCTGATCCTCCCACCACCCAACAGAAAACGGGTCATCGCTCGCATCCAACTCGTCCAAATCGCCGTCCTCGGCGCGCACTCGCCCACCTTTATGGCCCTCTCCTACTAAAACCAGCAGCACAGGAACATCCCCGACCTCCCCGCGCTCCTCGTCGATCACACCTTTGACCCGTCCAACAGCAGAAAGGAACTCTAAGAGGCTTTTCACGTCGGCTCGAGACTCGGGTGTACCTGCATCTGCGACCGTGCCCGTGCCCGTACCCGCAGGCAAACTCGCGCTCGTATCCTCCAGATTCCTAATACAAATCACCAGAGCCCCGATCGCGTCGCGGACAACCTGTGCATCTGCGCCGGAGAATTCGACCGCCCATTGCGCGGGCGCGGGCGCGGGCGCGCTTTCCCCTTCTCGCTCTGTCTGTTTCTGCGTTTGCGTTTCTGCTTCCGTGTGCGCGAGTGTATGCGCGTGTTCATCTGCCGCCGCAGGGAGAGGGATCTCGTCGACCCATATCGGGATGTCGGCGGTGTAGTACCTGTTTGTGAGGCGGAGGGGTGGATGGGTGGTGTACCCTGCGAAGGAGGCCGGGGGGTCGGCGACTCGGGTTTCTGTTAGGGAGTGCAGGAGCGATGGGATCGTTGAGGCCGAGTGGGAGCTTGGGGAGAGGATGAGGAGACGGCGTGGGTTGCGGATTTGCGGTGCGGTGGTGGTGGTCTGACTTTGGCTTGCGGAGATGGGGTGGGGTGCGGAGGTCATTTCGGTGGTAGGGTTGGGTCGGCTTGCGCTGGATGAGAGGGCTGTCGCTGAGATTTGGTCTATTTAGAATTGTTGCAGGGGACTTGGTACTTCTTGCTCTGCTGCCATGTGGATTGGAGAATGTGGTTTGTTGCGGGGAACTTTTGGCGGAGAAGATTTCGGAGTGTTGGATTTATCTACGGAGCACCAGGGGCCAGTTTGGAGAGATTGATCGCTTGGAACGCCAGTCAAACCAGAATTGGGCTACTAGCAAGACATTGAGAGAAGCTTTATCTGTTGCCATGCCAGGTAATCGCCACGACCAGTGCAATTCAAGATGGTATTCGACACATGCATGTCTCGCAGTACGCATCCTCCACCGGGTCCAATTCTTTCCTCCAGAAGTCAAAGTCTGCTATCGCAGGGTATCGCCCCGAAACCGGTCTTCTCAAGGAATCACATTTTTCAATCCCACATAAGTACCATTAGGAATGACGAAAAACCACACAGAAAAAGGAAACGCCAACGAAAAAGAATCCACCAGATCAACCCCTCCGTTGTCCCCGAGCCCTCTGCACCGTCGCCTTACCACGAGCAAGACCGACACCTCTACCACGCTGGCCGCGCGAACGGAACATGGGTGCGTTTCTGCAAACGTCAGTACGTAAACCACATAACCAGTAGAGATGTAATACCTCAACATATCCGGCACGATGAAGAACTTGACGTGGCTTCCGCGAATGTAGACCTGGTCCAGGTGCGACACGCGACCATCACGAGCAGTGACTGTGATATCCTTGAGCTGGACGTTCATGTTATCCTCAGCTGGGAAAAAAGTGTTAGCATAATCCTGAAACCACCGGGCTGATTGTCACGCGCGACGAACCTTCCAAGAGCTTTCCTCGATACACCACCCCCGAAGTAATCTCCAGCGTTACGACGTGGCCCTGCGATTGCAAGTTAGCTCGAGTCCAGTATACTTTATAAAGGCAGCAGAGTAAAGCGGACCTGAGCTTCATTCAAGAGCTTGATGGGGATACCGATGGTGCTGGTCAATTTGCCCATGTTGAAGGATCGGATGCGATTCGAGCAAAGTTAGGCGAAAAAAAAAGCAGAGTCGTCGCGAGAATGGATTGAGCGGAAGTGACAAAAAACGAGTGCTTTTCTTAATTCCACAATTCGAGCTGACCGTTCTCCGAGACAGCAAAATCCTGAGTACGATGAAGAGAAAGAATGCGGCGCCAATGAACTGAGTTGAGCGGGTTGAAGCTAGCGGAGGTCCAGTCAAGGCGGAGAGTCCCCTACTTGTGCGGCTCTGCTGCAACTCTCTCTGTACCACTTGTAGATCGTCAATTCTTCAGCTTCATCAAGCAACCTCAAGTACATAAACATGGACTGTCCTCATTGATACCTTGCCTCAATCATGAACACATAATTACAATTACCTTGACTCTCTACTTTCACCACTTTCGGCCCACTCATTCAACTGCCTCCAACTCGCTAAATCTTCCGTATACATACACAACACCTTCAACTGCAGTGAAAGAAGAAAAATGGCCAGCACACCCAACACCAACCTCCGCGGCTTCAACCACGCAGTGCAAACACTCCTCCGAAACCCTTCCCAGTTCCTCCCCCATCTCACCATCCCAACCTTCACCCACCTCCCCGAACAACTCGGTCCGCATCTCTACAGACAACCTCCAGGCGAAAAACCCGCGCCAGCAACGACAGCAGCAACAACGAAATCACCCACCATCCGTGCCCTCGTCCTCGACAAAGACAACACCCTCTGCCCGCCTAAGACAACCACCTTCCCTCCCCAGATCCTAGACAAGCTCTCCGCGCTGCGCACCTCGCCCACCTCGCCCTTCAACCAGTCCACAGCGCCCGACTCGATCCTCATCGTCTCCAACCGCGCAGGGAGCCATCCGCGTTTCGACGCCGAGGTGCGAGAGATCGAGGACCAGTTGTCCTCCCTGCGGATTCCGGTCTTCCGATTGCCCGAGGGCAGTGAGAAAAAGCCGTTTTGTGGAAAGGAGGTGGTGGATTGGTTTCGGAAGCGCGGGGTGGTGACGCGCGCGGATGAGATTGCGGTTGTCGGGGATCGGCTGGGGACCGATGTGCTGATGGCAACCATGATGGGTTCTTGGAGCGTCTGGTGTCGTGATGGGGTTTACGAAGGCATCGATCCGAACAAGGGGAGGCCGAATATGAATATCCTCGAGAGGATGGAGGTTTGGATCGAGAAATATCTGAGGGAATCCCGAGGATTGAAGGCGCCGCTGCCAAGAGGATGGGAGAGCCAGTAGAGAAGCTCTCTCATCTCTTGTACTATATTCATTTGATACCCGCTTTTACTAGCTATATGTAGATATACTCAAGAGGCCTTGTGCCTCCAAGTCAACAGACACTGTACACAACATGCATGCCATTCTTGGTCATGATCCTAAGATGGATTGGCCCTGAAGCCAGGCAGGATCTTGTCTGCCGTTTTCCTAGCAACCAACCGGCCGTCTGCGCAACATTTCTCGCAAAAGGAGTCCCTGCGATTTGGCGTGACAGCTGGCTAGGTATCGGCCAAGTTACCCAAGCGCCTACATGCGTAAATGATGAATCGAAGTCAAAAGGAACAAATGTGAGTAGGAGACTCAAGCTCAAGAATCCCAGAAGAATCGCACCATCACAAAGTAAAAATGCAAACAATTCCTGACCCGCCGACCCGGAGAAGACCAAAACCGATAAAAGTAAAAAAATTCCCAGCAGAGATCGCCCATTTTGCTCACTTCCTGGCATAACCACGTTAAATGACCCTGGCCATGGTCAAAAATGAAATCAAGAAGTAAAAATGGACAGGGATAGTAGGGAAGAAAATCAACAAAAAATTGTTGAGAAACATCAAGAACACGAAGTGTCAAAAGGCGTCAGGACCAGCCGCAAGAGAGAAGGGTATAAATACAGAAGAGGAAAAAAAGAAGAGATGAAAAAGAAGGGGGAAAGTATCGGTAGCAAATATCGAGAAATGTGACGACATAAGCATTTATTCACCTGCGCCGAGGGCCGAGAGACGCCAAGTTGCAGTTTGAGGAAGACAGCATTTCTGCCATCCTACCGGGATGTCATATTGACAGTCCATCCAATGCCCCAGGGGCATTGAAAACATGGCCAACCCCGGTAAAACTCATAGAGGCTTGAGAAGAATAGCCACCTCGTTGCTTCAGTTACTATCAGGTGTAGAGGACGACAGTAGAGTCATTTCAGATAGGGTATGAGAGGACAACCAGGGGTAGGGTGCTCATGATCCCGGAGCCATTGAGTTGACATCAACACCCTCCATGCTTTGATAGTCGGTTGCAAGCATTGGCGAAGTTTGGCCAGACAAGGTCTGCATGGGCAGTTCGAATGTGTTTCCTTCAAGTCCCATGGTAGTGGGGACAGAATAGTCCATGCTCTGCTTAACGAACATGTCATTCATAGCCATCCCATCATCTGCAAAATTGGCCTGCTGCTCGGTTCCCAGGGTGTACATATCCTGCGGGGTATGTGCCATGTTCGACAAGGGAGGCGAATGTTCAGCGATCATAGGATCGGCATGGCTGACATTGGAGAAGGAAGAAACGGCATGCCCCATGCTGGACGAATCCATCGAAGGCGCCACAAAAGGCAGGCTGAATGAAGGGCCGCCCATGTGTGTAGCGACCGGGGTAGACTCGCCGGTCGCACTGGTGGCGAAGATGGATGGGCTCGCAAAGTCGGAAGGAGAGCCGGTGGTCGTAGCAGACATAGGATGACCCCGAGGATCGAAACCATACGAGGGGGAAGTGTCGATGCGCAGATTCAGGGCTAACGGTTGAGCCGACTGAGGGACAGGCGCAAAAATACCCGAATCCGCGTTATGGTATGGGGCCGGAGTCTGGGACATGGTGTAAGACGGGAAGTGAGACATCTGCATGGCTGAGAAGTCAACAGCAACCGGAACAGAACGACTCCTTTGCCGCTTGTGACCGCGCGCGACTGGAACGTTCAGGGTCGACTGATCCTGATACATGTTCATGAATGCCGGCGCGAATTGGTTCGGCTGGGAGGCAGGGCGCTGAATGAAATGAGGTGACATTGGTGGTGCCATCGCAAGGTTGCTGTATGCCAGACGGTTTTGGAAAGACTCCAGCGACACTAACTTGGCCAATTGGACACTCAGAACCTTGGGATGACCTCCCAGATGGTGCACCAGGATCTGGCTCGCTTGCTGATCCTCCGTAAAATCACCACATTGATAGAATCCGCCGGAGTTCGACGAATCCATGTAGAACAACGGAGGACGATTGAGTTCCACGAGGAGGCCAGCGGGTCTGGCGGGAGCCCCGTTGGACGGGGCATTTGGATCACCCGACTCGAGCGTGATGTTCTTGATGTAGGAAAAGGGATACTCGATTTTGTATCCGGCAGAATCGTTATTGATGTAATAAGTCATACACGCCTTTTCGGGGGAGTAGAAGACAACCAGATCCATAGCGTTTTGCCCGATGCGCCGCCAGCTTCCAATGGTCAAGGAACGACAGGTGAAGTGATGAATGACTTGGCTACATCAGCAATCGCTACAAAGCGAGATGATTTAGTTTGAACTCACCGACTTTCCCTGAGGGTGCAGACTCGTTCGGGTAAGCACCATTGGTTCCATATGTACCTGTGCGCCCGAATGGGTCTCTCGCACCGGCCTTGCTCGGGTCGAATTGCATCGCCAGATACTGTCTCATCGACTCAGGAATTGAATCACAGCCTTCGCCGGTTTCAATACTCTTTTTCGCGAGCATCTTAATCTTGGCTCGTCTGTGGTCGCGGTTAGTGCATACAATCAAGCGAGGCCGGATCTATCTTCCACCAACCTGTTCTGGAACCAGATCTGAACCGAACGTTCAGTCATGTTGATCTCCTGAGCGATCCGCTCGCGCGTGGCTGCTGTGGGAGTAGGGTTCTTGTTGAATTCAAGTTCCAGAGTGACTAGCTGATCCTGGGTTGCCCGTTGTCGCTTATTGTTCTTCTGCTGTTGCGTCAGAGTGCTCTTCCGGGGCGGACGGCGCGATGCCGATGTTGAAGGAGCCGTGGTAACACTGGAGTTGGAGGGAGAAGGGGTCGAAGCGGCCGAAGATGACGAAGCTGTGTTCGCCGCGGTCGAGGTTATCGACATAGTCGAAGGGTCGGGCGTGCCTGTCGAAGACATTGTTTGCAGAGTATAACTCGAAGTATATAGTTTTGAGAGAAATGAGATATAACCAGTCTTGTCCGATGGTTTCAAGGGAAGGGTAAGGAGAAATATGACGATCCGGCCGACACGGTAGAATAAAAAAAGAGAGGCAAAGATGTTTTCTTTCGAGTCTCTCAAAGCAGCGTCAAGCGCGAGAGGATTCAAGGTGATCCAAGAAAAGGCAACGGTATGGGAGTAATCGGAATCAGGGCCGAATTGTTTCCAAGACCACAAGCCTAGATGGATGGTATAGATGATCGCGTCGCAGAAGCGTCAAGCTGGACGGCGAGAAATGAGGCTGTCAAAAAAGGAGAGCTGGCCAAGCAGCTTATAATGATCAAAGGAATCCTGAAATCTTCGCGACAGGGTGGATCTCTTGGATGGAATTGTCAGCACGATAAAGGAGCGTAGGGAGATGACAATCCGAGGATGTGGACGAAGAGAGCGGATTCCAAGGTCGTCGTAAAGGAGTGCAACGAACGACCAGGAAAGTCAATAAAAGAGGTTGGAAGTGAAAGGAGTGGACTCAACAGAGTGAAAGAATGGAAGAAACGAAAGAGTGAAGCGTAAAGAAAAGAGAGAGGGGAAGGGAAAGGAAAAAGGAAGGCTGACAGATGACTGGGGGGGGAGGAAGAGGGAGAGGAGAGGAAGAATGAACGAGTGAGAGACGAGGGAAACAAACGGGTGGAGGAGTGAGACTGAGAGAGCCCCAGAGGAGAGAGAGTCTAGACAAGGACAAGTTTTAGTGCCTGAGGTTGACCGCAGTCAGGAGATGGGAATTGCCGAAAGGGGCCTAGTGGGGCTGGCTGGCACGGCTGTTCCT